TAATGAAAGACAATATATTGTTTATTGGTTGTTAAATGAGGCAAATGGAATCTACAAGTTAACTCTTTAACAGATTAAATGGGGTACGGTACTGGAATAATTCAACCCTTTTTTATCAGCTCAAAAACAATATAAATTTGCTAACCCAGTACACCCATTTACTTAACTTACTGTTGTTACAGAATATTCATATTATAATTATGTTGATTAAATTCATATCATAATTAATTGATATAATTATATTAATTGATTTTGTACCATAAAATATTATCCTGTATAGCTTTATAAATAAGCACGTTATATATTAATTGAAATTAAAAAAGAAAAAATTTATTTTTTCATATATCTTTATATTTTTTTTATTTTTTTTATCATGATATTAAAGCATTGAGGCCTTTTTTACTATTATTGTTCATCTCCTTTGTGAATCGCTACTTTGCTTGTAGATGGTGCCAATCATTATTATCTTTGCTTTCTTTCTTGAACTTATTTGCAATTGGGTTTTCTTGATTCTGTTTCTTTGTTGCACCGATAACACGTGTTATTCCCACGGCTAGTGTTGCTCTAGCATTCTCGCATCCAATTGTTATTGATTTTGCTCTTGATTTTCTATCGCTAATTTTGCTCTTGATTTCTCACAATTGAACTTTTGAAATTGCTATTGCCTAGATCTGTTATTGCCTCCTCCTTCAGTGATATCGACTGCACTGATCAGCATATTCAAAATGCAGATATTTTTACCAAAAACTCATTTTCTTGAACGCTTGCGTACTCTTCTTTTCAAACTTAAATTAGTCTCCTTATCACCATCTTGAGTTTGAAGAGGATGTTATAAAATATTCATATTGTAATTTTGTTAATTAAGTTTATGTTATAATTGATTGATATAATTAAGTTAATTGATTTTGTATTATAAAATTTTTTTTATACATATCTATAAATAAATACCTTATGTATTCAATAAAATTAATTTTTATTTTTCTTCTCTTTATTTTTCTATCGGCGACCAAGAATGATTAACAATATAATTATTGATTATAAAAAATGAACGCTACGTGTTTGGTTAAATGCCCGTGTGAGAATGGAATGATGAAGCAACACCAGTGCTCCCGTCACGCTGCAGGTGGCATAGCATATGATTTTAATGATGAGCGTGGCAGAGGGACACCGCCACCACCACCACCACCACCACCACCCACGCTTTTTGCCCTTTGCCTTTTTCATACATAAAGCATTTTTGTTTCATTTTCATCCCCTTGTTCCTAGGTAGAAAGTTTTGTAGAATATGTCACGCAAGATTGGTTTGACTCTTATTAAATGTCAAAACCTGACAC